ATAATAATAATAATCTAAGCTTATAAATCGCTTATAARACTTTTCCTAAGCGCAAATAAAAAAGTAAAAATTAAGATACAGAAAGTTACAATAGAGTTACAGATCATAAGCTTGTTTTTAAAAATAAGAAGGTTTTAAGAGCAGTTTAAAAATTGTCAAGTGAAGAAATGTCTCCGATTGAAGATGGGAGTGAATTCCATAGAAAAGGACCAGCAACACTAAAAGAACGATAACCATAACTTTTGAGATTGTAAGACTTGGAAGACAGTACCAGTTGAGAAGACGAACGAAGGCAACGAGAAGGACGATATTTTTCAAGCATGTCTTGAACATAAATAGGAGCCAGGCCATGAAGAGCTTTGAAAGTCAGAAGGAGAATTTTAAACTTGACACGTGCGGAGACAGGAAGCCAGTGAGAAGTCGATAAGTAGAGATGTAATGTGGTCACGTTTTTTAGAGAGCATGATAAGACGGGCACAGGCATTTTGGACAGCTTGTAGACGATCCATTAGATATTTAGGGAGRCCATATAGTAGAGAATTGCAATTGTCAAGTTTTGATGATATAAGCGAGTGAACAAGGATTTCCGTAGATTTCACAGACAGGAATTTTCTGATTCTTGAAATGTTTCGAAGATGATGAAAAGAGGATTTGCAGGTCATTTTGATGTGATAAGCCAAGGACATAGAAGAGTCAAAAAGAACACCAATGTTACGAACACAAGAGGAGGGATGAATTATTTCAGAGCCAAAGCTGATTTCAGGTGAGGAGCTCAATGGACAGCGCTTAACGAAAAAATAAGAAATTCTGTTTTGTCCTTATTCAGTTTCAGTTTGTTGAGAGTCATCCAGAGATCAATATCACAGAGGCAAGCTTTRATATTGTTTAAGGCAACATCTAGGGCGTTTTCATCATTACARGAGAAAGGAATATATATTTGAGTATCATCAGCATAGAAATGAAATGACATCTTATACTTCCGGAGAATATCAGCGACAGGAGAAGTGATGCATATTGTCATTTCATTGACCATCAACCACTGAGCTTTGATGGATATCAATATTTTTGAAACAAACAGCATTTAGAAACGCCGCCCTAAATGACCGATTCATAATACCATATAAGATAGGGTTAAGAGCACTGGAAATATACCCAAGATAAATATAAGTCATGTATGTGCCTCGAGATAGGGYACCRCCAGGAAGAAAAGAGTCCAGCAACTCTATAATGATGCAAGGAATCCAGCATAATCCAAATCCAACAACCAGAACRAAAATTTGTTTTGTCACCTTAATGTCTCTCATGGTAACGGCTGTTCGGCCACCGACCTGCTGATGAGAAGCAAGGATTTTAGCATGTCTGTGTATTGYACGAAAGACCAGGACATACGACGAAATGATGGTCCCAAAAGGCGCGAAGATGAAGAGTAAWAGACCAGAGACGGTATAAGCAATATTGGAAGAGAATTCTGGGATGGTAATCCAACAGCAGGATCTTTCTCCYCTAAAGATGAACATACCAACTTGAGCAGCCAATGGAGCCACAGCTACTATGAAAGAAAGCAGCCACACACAAATCAACATTGCTATGCAATACCTTCTTTGAAACCATTTTCTGTACATTGAAGGCCTGACAACACAGAAATATCTATTTAAGGCAATAAGCGACATCGTTTGCAATGCACCAAATGTTGAAAAYAAAATAGCAAAGCCCTGAACTTGGCATAAGGTGTAGCCGTATAACCACTTTCCTTTYACAAGTACTCCAATCGTTAAAGGCATGACTAATGACGCTTTTAAAGTGTCWGAAATAGCCAGAGCTGTGATGTACATATTTGTCTTGTTTTGTAAGGAAGGTGTCTTGAAGATTACAAAGCAGAATAAGATGTTACCAATAGCAGTTGTACAATGGATGATCACCATTATAAACGTCTCGAAGACTACTAAGCCTGTGCTTCTATTTAGCAGGTCCAAATTGAACATTTCTCTCCACGTCGCATTGGCACTCATAATTGAATAGAACAAGTCGAATTTCCCTATAGCTTTTCAAAATGAACAATACCAAAAAGGATTCCGGCTTCAATTTTCAGTGAATTCGAGGAGCTTCTTTAAAAATAAGTTGATCKTCGGTAAAATAAAGAAGCGAATTCGATGACATTCGTAGTCTTCTTGTCTTAATCACAAATTCGAGATTTAGCCATCGACGTCAAAGTTATTTATAGCATTCAGCTCCAATCAATTACGATTTGAATAATTCTCAAGTCAGTATATGTTTATGTATACAGATGGTACCAATTTCACAAACAGATTTTAATTACTTTTTCTGAACGTCATTGACGAGCGTCATCAAGATAAAAGCTATGATAAATCTGACAAATTACATTCTGTATGAAATCACTTATTGTTCGTTAAGGAAATAACGATTTCAATTTATTAACATTGGTGACAGAATATAAGYTTGTTAAAGAGGTTAGCTTCTTGAGGTAATCGATGTCACAGCTTAAAGGTCAACCAATGATGAAATACAAATAATACACGAATGAAAACGTAATTGGAAATTTTACGTTTTTMCTTTTGATATTGACAGTATGTTTGTATTAATGAAGGAATGGAACATATGAAATATATTAAAAATAACCATTTTTCTATTCTTAGCRTAAGTTGTTTTCTATTACGAAGTAATTTCAAAGTCACTTAAATAATTACTTGAAAGTTGTTATTGAAGATAGCGTGTGTGGATTTCTGTATTTCTATCAATATTATTCTTATAAAGGCTTACGCGCGACTCAGTTTCAACCGTAAATAAAATTTTCCTTGTTTTGAAACCGGCTTCTTTATTCTGAATGTGCTATTGTCTTTGTATTTCTTTATTTATATTTTTTTGTGACTTGTCCTATTCAATATGACACAGTTATAAAACTCATTAATATTCATAAGGCAAAACACAATAGAAATCATAGCCCATGAAGAGAGTTGTATATTACATACAGATTACTTGTTCATTTGCATAAACTTTAACTCTGATTTTCTCGGTCAGATTGATTTTTTTTTTTCAAAAGTTTCTTTAAAACCTGAGCTAGTTTACCTCAACGTTTCATAAGTAATATACAATATTCGCGCGCGATCTGTATGAGGTTTAAAACAGCTCGCTTTCAGCTCGCTGTTTTAAATCCTCATACAGATCGCCCGCTCATATTGTATATATATTACTAATGATAATAATATATTATGCTCATGTGATCAGAATGATGCAAAACAATAAAAACTTTGTTGAAATGAGGAAATGGTCAGGAAGGATCAGCGCGGAAATATCGATGTATTGCCACTTCAAACTTTCCCCTTGGATTTTGGATAATTATAAAATATTATGAAGCGAACAAAGTGGAAGCAGGCGTACATAAGGCTCAGATATTCTTATTGATCTAATAGACTTTTACACTGTAACATTACTTATGCTTAAAAAATACGAGGGGGGAGTGTGGTGCTTTCACAGTTACGTTAATTAGATAAGATTAGATTAGATAGGTGACGTCAGGGAAATACAGAAAATTCATGCTTTCCTGAAAAACGGCATCTAATTCATAGTTGCATGCTTTTCATCACGTTGTCTTCATATGGCGAGTCTTTTTATCTTATGCCGTATAAAAGATCTTTMTAGACACAAGACAACTTCTAAAGTATCTTGAGAGAAGCCTTCTCGACTCATAACGTTTATCTTCCGAGAATCCCTGGAGTTCGTTTAGCCTGAGACTATTATTTCATTACATGACACTTTTCTTTGAAGGTGGACATGGTGTCATCGAAGACTTAAATACACTGGTTAGTAATATATAATATCCGGGAAGCGACTTGAAAGAGGCATTTTTACACAACAATCCGCCCCTTCAAGGAACTGAAGTGTTTTTTGACGAAACCTTTTCATAGATTTTATGAGCACGCAAACCGTTTCTTTAAGTTCAGTTTATATGAAGAGTGTATACAAACTACTCTCTCTATCGAACGTTTTGCCGGAATAAGTTGAGAGTTGGTCGAAGTCATGGAAACATTGTAAAAAAAAGTGAGAAAATTATCATTTAGAAACCACCAATCAAAAGTGATTGCCCAAGAGGTAGGGAGAGATTTTGACATGACATTTTTCTTTTCCAGATCTTGAATCATCGACAAAGTATTTCAATTTCGAGTTATCTTGAAACTACTCCTAATTTTTCTTCAACTGTTGTAAAACATATAGTGAACTGAAGAGGTTTTAATAAACGAAACTAGTTTTCACTATTCTTGGTAGTCCCTGGCCKGTACGTACGAAAATCGTTACGTTGGAGTGATTTACATTTGTAAAGTTTATGTCTACTCCTAAGCAATTTTCCTGTAAGTGAGAACGTGATTTTGTTCCAAATATATTATTCAGTTAAGAAGAAAACAGCATAATTGAAGCAAGAGAGCCGCAAACAAGTCATTGAGTCACCAAGCCATCGTTTCCATTTAAATAAAAAGCCTCTTATTTAGTAAGTCAAAGGCATTGGTCCTCAGAAAACGTTTACAAAGCTACATTCGAAAGCAGAATGGTGATTATTCTACCGGGTTGAAAGAACCGCATGTTATTCCAGAATAAATAATTTCAAGTTTTGTCACCAATCACGATGAAAGCTCAGATGAAAAACGCTACTCAATGTGTGCAAATTRAAACCGAAGTAATCGCAACGGAACGTTGGCACCTGTTCAAATGAATTGATTAATATCATAAATTCAAATCTCGTTATATTACAACGGACTTAGTATTTAGTTAACAATCGACAGTCTTCCGTACTGCGAAACCCATTACAAGAACATTTCAGTGCAAAGTGAGTAGCTGACTTCACCATGGACGCGAATCTCACATGGCGAGAACAGCTCGCACTCGACCTTGAAAATAGAAACGGTGCTTTGGTTGTCTTTGAGTCATTCRTGATGATTATTGTAAACATTTTATCTGCTGTTGGTAACGTTTTATTTTGCGTGGTAATTTACAAAACGCCTTCTTTACAGAACAAAACGAACATGTACATCACAGTTCTTGCAATGGCGGACACTTTAAAAGCATTTATGGTCATGCCCTTGACGCTTGGAGTACTGCTTCAAGGCAAATGGCTCTTCGGTCACACAATGTGTCAAGTCCAGGGCTTTTTCATTTTATTGTTATCCTTTGGCGCACTGCAAACCATGTCGCTCATTGCTTTGAACAGGTATTTCTGTGTCGTCAGGCCTTCTTTGTACAGAAAGTATTTCCAAAGAAGTTACTGTATAGCAATGCTTGTTTGCATTTGGTTGACCTCGYTTGCTGCAGCAGCGGCGCCACTGGCTGCTCAAATTGGCTCGTTTATCTTCGCAGCGGGTCGRTCTTGCTGTTGGATCATCATTCCAGAATTCACTGCCAATATTTCATACACTGCCCCAGTTYTATTCCTCTTCATTCTTCTGCCTTTTGGTGTCATTATTACTACTTATGCCAAGGTCTTTTTRACAATACGAAACCACAGTCAAAATATCACTTCGCATCAAACTAATGATAACACAACCATATCTAGTAGGGAAATCAAAGTGACCAAGCAAATTTTCGTTCTGGTTGTTGGATTTGGATTATGCTGGATTCCTTGTATCATTATAGAGTTGCTGGACTCTTTTCTTCCTGGCGGTGCCCTGTCTCGAGGCACATACATGACTTATATTTATCTTGGGTATATTTCCAGTGCTCTTAACCCTATCTTGTACGGTATTATGAACCGGTCATTTAGGGCGGCGTTTTTAAACATTTTTTGTTTCCAGAAGATATACATTCATCCCACATCAATGGGAGGTAATGAAGCACAGAAGGCAACCGAACAGCATGAGCTTTCGAGGGCCAGATAGCATAACATTTCAGTAATTTCTGAGAAAAACTGTGATATAAAATGACCAGTTTTATTGAGTACATTTCTGATGCTAAATTCCAAGTTTTAAGCTAGAGGAAAATTATAAAGCGCAAATAGAAACAAATTCGTGTTTTTTTTGGCATTAAGCATTTAAATAGGAAAACAATACCAAGCAAGGGGATTTATGTTGTCTATAACACCACCAGTAAATTTCTACATATCATATGTCATCTTAGTGTTTTATAGAACAAAGTAGGCTACGTGCAGTGCATTCCCCAAACTCAAAGCCAAAAAGGAGGACCTTTCTAAAAAAAAGATTATATAGGAAAAGAAAATGATGGATGATGGATGATGGATGCCGTGGTTATTATTTTATCAATAAGCAAAGTTCTACTGGTTAAAATGCTGTGCTATGCTTGAAGGAATTAATGTTTCATTGCGTTTCGTGCCAGATACTGACAGCTCCATTGATGCATATGTCACTAATAACACCGATGTATAAACCTACTTGCAGAAACGTTGTCAAAAATAGGACATTTGTATTTAGTAAAAAGGAAAAAAATTAAAAAGACAAAAGAAGATCACTAAGGCTGAACGCTTTCTTTTGTCTTGTTTAATGTATTCCTTTTTACTAAATTCAAATGTTCTATTTTCTATGACAACGTTTCCGTGCAAGTAGTTGTATATACCAATAAAACAATATAACACTTGCCAAGGTAGTAATGACATTTAAAGTGAATCCTATCTTTGTGCTGTCTATTATATTCAAACCTAACTCCCCTTCCACCCCCGACTGAGAGAAAATTGTTCTTCATCTCGGGACTCGGGAAAGAAAGCCCAATTACATTTAATGACAAAGATTTGTTCCTGCTACTGATGAATCCGCCAAAAACTTCATAAATGGCAGTGACAAAGTGTATTTTTAACTGCTTTTCAAAGCGTCTAGAAAGCAAAGGAAACAAATAGAATTGCCAAAACCATAGTAATTAATTGAATGATGCAAACGTATCAAATTCAAGACAACGACTAACGGCATCTCTATTCCTGGTGTGCAACCACGTGACCAAGAATCCCCTGAGAAATAATGAACAAAGCTATCGCCGCCATGTTGGATGAATGAACAAGAAAAACTAATGAGGAATGCTTTGTGATCTTCATCCAACATGGCGGCGATGACGTAACTTGCACGCAAAGAATCTTGAGATTTTAGAAAAAGCAGACGATCTTTTAGAATCGACCAAATTATTGACAAGCTAAAGGCTTTATACTGAGAAGCACCTCATCATTTCATCATTATCTTGATACATTAATAATTTTCTCATTTTTTTCGCTCTTTATTTTTTCTTTTTTTCCTTGTAAACCTGTGAACTTTTGATATTTTTATACCAGTTTTCTTATTTATTTATCGCCTTCGCCTCGATTAGTCAGAGACTAACTTCGGGGGCTGATTCAACTGTAATTAAGTGACCTTAATAAAAGTAAACTGTTGTTGTTGTTGTACAAAGCACCAAATAAAATCTTCTGTTCTTTATCATATCAGTCATAATTCATAAATAACACGTTTTCTAATAAACCAGATTTAATTACATGAAAATAAACCAGGTTTAATTACAGGAAAATAAAATCAGTCATGTGTAAAGTTACAATGCATTTATCAAACAATTAAAATAAAAATGTCACGCAATCAGACATAGCGTATTCTTCGTTTTCAAGTTACGTCACAGCGGCCATCTTGGAGGAACTTCAACAAAAGATTTCTCATTAGTATCTATTGTTCGTTCCTCCAACATGGCCGCCGGTCTTTTATCTTTTGAATCTCATGGGAATGRTTGAAAACGATCAATACGATAAGCTACAGAGCGATATTTRTTACGTCCGCATTTAGGMCTTGTTTACATGAGATAGGGTGCCCCTAGGTGTAGAGCCATATAAACGRGGCCTTAGTCGCTACGCCAACGACAAATAAAGCACAAACGGAGCATCTTCTCGACGTTATGCTGTGTACGGTAAAGCGTGAAACAAGAAAWTGGTACTGACATRKTTTGCTTGTACTGCTCTTTTTCTCAGATTTCCAAGAATAATTTACGGAATGCATGCATTCGGTCATTACGCTTACAGTCATACGTAGCTCATTCAATGAATTGGGCTTCCTTTGTAACAAAACGTTGCTCAGGCAGCCCATTGGTAAAATTACTKTTAATGCGACGATTGTCTCAATAAGAAGCGTTCGTAGACAAGCATTCGTCGTAAAGTAGAAAAAAAAAACTGCTTACAAAATAAAGAGTGAGTTTAACAATATAGGAGTAAAACAGCTTGACACATTTTCAGCATGAGACTGAGTGGTTTATGAATCCATGACGCAGCTCWAAAAACCCAGGTTATAAAACAGTTTTTTCGAGAGAAMATCCCCATTTATACWGTAGAGCTTGGATAGGCAAGCAGCCATTCCTCAAAATAGTTCAGCAGTTTTGAGGACTGGAACCGGGAATAGTATTCGTTGAATACATTACAAGTGAAATATCTATTTTTTGTACACAACTTTGTCCTGTTTTGTAAAGTTCGTCATAGGTTTATCGCCGATTCCACATGTCCCAACACCAACCTGAATAAATTTACAAATGSATTTTTAGTTCGGAGTCCCTCCTCAGGCGCTCGACATTTCAACACTTTTTTAAGTGTAAAAAACAGATATTCTGTTTCTTTTTCCCTGTTTCCCCCATATTTTAAAACATGAATATTCTATTTTGATACCTCTATTATATATTTGCATTTTTTTAAATACAATTTTAACGAAAGCTCACRAATACCCAAGCATTTGCTACAAGAAAAACACTGTTTGAAAACATTGATCATCGAAAAGAACTGTGGAAATGAAAGTACGTAACCTCATTAACTGGACAACCTACGTGACATCCAGTCTTTGTAGGAAAAGTGGACCCCTTCCCCCTACCCCCACAGCCAATGTTGTTGCTAATTTTGTTGGCAGGAATGTTTCTGCATGGAAATAGAGTTTCTTTGGAGCCCAACATTGTAAATGTGGGGTCCTCGGGGGAAATTAAGTAAGTTAAGTAGACATACATATTGTCCCATGTATTTCGTATATGTTTGTAGGTGCGATGGAGAGATAAAATGAATCAGGCGTTCCTAGTCGCTCCGAGAGAGTTTTGATCGGACAAGGTTTCTCTGGTCCAAACTCTCTCGGACCGGTTAGGAACGCCTGGCTACGCAGGTTTGATGAATCAAAAATTGTACTTACTCTACCAGTGAGAGTTTCTGGAGAAGCAAATATACTTTTCTTTGACACTCCTTTTAAATTAGAACCCTTCTTAGAACTTCCACCACTCTAAAAAAGAACAAACCAAGGGTTGAATTGACTGCTGTTAAGCGATGAAAGGTAAGGTTTCCTAACTGTTTTTATTTTTTTTTTTTTATACTTGTGCAAATACAGCCTTTTGCAAAAATTATGAGAATTGTTGAAATATCTAAATATCATAATATCGAGTGCATGATGGGTAATTCCACGCGATGCCCTTAGTCCCTTGTCTTTGTAGTTTAGTTTTTTTTTGGCGATTGACTTATCCGTAGTTCTGAACATTTTCTCGATGTCAACAATGAATTATTCTAGCAAACCCGCGTGTTCCGGACAATATATGGATATGGATATTATGATATTTAGATATTTAGACAATTCTCATAAAAAGGCTGTATTTTGAAAACGACATGAAATCAAAGATTCTACCGCTACATATTACTGTACCTTCGAGTTATTAAAAAAGTCTAGCCATCTATTTTTTTCTTGTTCCCTCTGTTCACCAAGTTCCTAAATACCAAGAAGGAAATGAAGACATCTTTGACAAATAGCTTTCGCCGAGACTTCAAAAAATCTTGTAACATCCATAAACTTTACAAATGTAAATCACTCCCTGGCCTGTACGTACGAAAATCGTTACGTTGGAGTGATTTACATTTGTAAAGTTTATGAAATGAAGACAAAACTTTTAAATTAGAAGAGGGAAATCAGAAAAGTTTCTGAACTTACCTTCATTCTTTGTTGCTTTTTGGCCATCTTTTTTCTTTTCTGTTCTCTTATTTGATCTTTTTCTTTCCTAAAAAGATAGAAGTTAATRTACCATCAACGATTCTATGATACAGAGAGTARATTAATGCACATAATTTACACTTAAATAAACTGATTGTAATTGCATACGAAATGCAYGGATCACGGAAATCGAGCAGCGAAAAAGCACTTTAAAATCAAAGAAAGCTTTGTTTGCAAGTGGCGATCAAAAATTTCCGTCTTTTTTTTCCTCAAAAACGTTTCTAAAAATCGGGGTGCGGCTTATCTACGAGAGCGGATAATACATGGGTAAATACGGTAAATCGTCTGCAAAATTATCAAGCTATTTTACAAAAAAACGTTGAATGGTGAATTAGTAAATTCTAAGCCCAAAACACAGTTTTATTTGTAGGAGTTTCGGACCATAATTTTTATCATTAACGTAGTTTAATAACAACAATGCATTGCGATCTTTGAATGCACTATGCGGTTACAGTATTGAGTTTTCAACGTTTTTGGAATAGATGTATACCTTGATATTTTTTTGCTTGTTCCTGATGATGACGCTGCAGACTCTGTAGTATCAGYAAACGATCTTTTCTGACCTATGGATACACCTGTTGACCCTCGGAGTGAAGTCGTCTGTAATAAATAAATAAAATAAACTCTTTTATTTTGAGAGGGTAGCACGTAATAGTCTCTAGACTAGTAAACTTGTGGCCCTCTATGTATTCACTCATACTCACTACCTCAACATTCATTATTTTACTACACGACACTACACAGCGGACCTGGAGAAAAACCCTCGGAGCAAGGGAGAGAACCAGCTTACAAACTCAAATCACATCCAGGACCGCAGCGGTGATATGACTGTGATATGATTGTGATTTAAACAATAAGCATGTGAGCACAGAACCTACACAATGCCGTCAAAGTACTTTTAAAGGCTGTGGGACAGTAAAACGATCATAAAAAATATTTTAGCCCAGTCCTATGTATACTGTTAAAATACTGTTATTTAAAAGTAATTGAAACTCTAAGGAGTTAAAGTTAGAGTACAAACACTAAAAGTGTGCAACATATAAATACCACTAAAAAATACATGTACTGGTAAATTGTGATAATTCTATTGTTTTCTATTGTTTAGTTAGGCTCTTTCTCAATGTATACAACACTCATTATACGTTCTATATATACCTCAATATAACCTAACCCTATCCCTTACCCTAAACCTAACACTTTGGGAACCCTGTGTTGTATACATCGAGAAAAGCCCTTTAGTTAGAACTATTTAATAGTAAATAGCGTAGTGTAGTGCACACATTTAGTGTTTGTACTGTACTCTATCTGGTGAAGTAACTTTGCAGAGAGTTCAAACTATTTCATGTGAATAGTATTTTCTCAAGAGGCTTCAATCAACTCGGGAGTCAAAATTACTCCAAAAGGGGTTGAAAATTGTTCCTAAAAAAGGAGTCAAAATTATAACCCTAGGTGTAGCTAAAATTGCCAGAGTTAAATCTACTCCAGAAAAGGAGCTACCTGGAACCTTACTGGTGGAAATCCTTTTTGGAACTGCATCCTACACCCCAATCTGTACCTTTTTGCAAAATCAAGACAACTCAATGCCCTTTTTTACCATAATGCTGCTTGTTGTTAAGTAATGCCCCGAGTAAGAACTAGGGAAGCAAACGGCATAGGAATGCAAGAAGGTGCTAATTGTGCACTGTATAATCCATCCATCCCATTGGTTAAAACATGAAAATCTGCTATAATTTCACAAGTTAGGGAATTTTCTAATATTTTATTTAATGTCTGTTTTCGCTTTCATGAAAGCTTTCTTTAGCTTCAATATTAAGGCAATTCTA